GGAAGGAGGGAAGGACAACGGTGGGGGCCTAACCCACTGACACATTTAGCCCCCCACCCCCCTCCCCCCGAATTGGCTGAAAGCACATTTAAAAAAACATGAATAATTTAAAAAATAAGATTTGTATCTGTTCCAAAGAGAGACTTCCTTTTAAAGAAAAGGCAATCATCTCCATTTAAAGATTTCATACTCATTTAGTTAGCTAATGACATACAATTTGGGGAGGAAAACTGTGCCTAATTCTGCTAATACTAGTAACACAGTAATGCCGCTGTAAAGATTACCAGGTGCCAATTTAATCAGCTGAGAAAAGGGGAGAAATACAGTCGTGTATAGAAGGGAAAGATAATGTTCTTTTGCCGAAAACACCGTGGACAGTTTTCAGCATGATTTCCTGTTTGGCAACAACCCCAGCTAACTTGGAGTATCACACTTGTATTTGAAATTCTTCTCTACATACTGCAGTTTCTGATACCCCATTTTGCTCTGTCCAGGAAGACTGTTTCACCAGCACTGAGTGACAGGGCCGGCAGCGGGAGCAGACGCGTGCCGACTGTCACAGAATTAGTGACAGGAGCCACCTGCGCTTGAGGCTGTTACAGGCCATAAGCACTGACTTCGCTTGAAGCTGATTTTGTTCAGCTAGTCCGGTTAATGGCAATGCCTGCATACGTAGTTTTAAAGCTCCAGTTAACCCCAGTATGCAAACATGGATTCCATTTTAAATGTGTTCAAGCCCCCTTTGACTTCAGGCAGATACAAGCATGCAGGTAATTGCTTCCTTCACAGGAACAAAATCATATACAAGCTTGGTTCTGAGCATATGCAAACCCAAAACATCCAATTTATCCTCCAAGTAGTCGTTAATCTTCAAAAATATAAAACTCTCTCAATTTAATTTTTGTAATTCTACATTTAGATAGGTTAAGAATTTTCTCTTTTATGTGCACATAAGAAAAAAGAACATATGCACACTTTGCCTGATTTTATTATGATCTATATGCACAAACATAGTTGCTATAAGGTTGCTCATCCATTATTTGAAATAACTCAGCAGTTTCACAATCACAGAATTGATACGTTTGACTTACTGAAGAAAAAAAATTTATTTACTCTTAAAAAATAGTCCAAATAAATTGAACATTTAAAAGATTTTTCTGACGTGTCCTAGGTATCTACAGAGGTCAGTATACTGGGCTGAGGGCATCATAAAGCCTCTGTGCAGCCAGTTCCACCATTTCACGAAGGGATTCGTCATCTTCGCTTCCTGGCTCACAGTCAACTGTCTGGAACCAAAAGAAGTATGTTAGAACAACTAGCACTTCATATTCCTTTTCAGCATGTGAAGAACGCTCATAAGGGGAACGGAAAAAGTAGTCATGCAAATTGAAAAGAAAGTTATCAGGAGTGGCACTGGATGTTTTTAATGGTCTGCCAACACGTAGAAGAGTTCAGAGAAGACTTATGCAAGTCCTGCTGAGGAACGAGAAGCTTAATCTCGAGTTTTATGTTTGATTAATAACTTGTTTCAAAACTACTAAGTAAAATGCATTAAGTTTTGTAGATTACATTTAATTCAAAATCAAATAAAACCACACAAGGTTCAGTCCTTGGAGATTTCATTTTATCTGTGAATTCACCTGCATTGTATTAGGTTAATCCTGTAAAACACGTGCATTCATCACGGAGGTACAGGCACCTGTACTCGGGGAGTCTCCACACTGATGTTCCCACACCCGTAAGATGATAACATTTACATCAAAATAAAACCCCAAAGAGATTCATTTATCACTAAAACAAGTCTTCCTAGAGAAAGATGCCCACCCCAAACTTGCAAGTTGATCAACATTCAACCCAATCCCCTGACTGGTCTATCTCAAAAACAAAGGGCAGCATTTGCATAGTAATACTATTCTTGATCCTATGGACTTTCTAGGCTCTAAGACTGTATCTTCTCTAATTCAGTATTAACTTGTTACTCTTCTGAACAACTAACTCCTTTCAACCACAAAGGTTTTTTGGGGAAAAAAAAAGGCATTTGAAACAGCAAACGTGCATTTAATGTTAGCTAACAATGCTGTTAAAAGCTTGTTTACTGCAAGAGCACCGTGTTAAGAGTTAACGTGGAAAAAATAAATCTACATGTCCCACCATATAGTCAGATCTATACTAAACAGTTTTTTATTTTAAAGCTATTAAAGTTTTATAAGAAGATAGATATGCACATAAAGAAGGACAGATCTTTCTTGTAAAACTTGGTTCACAATGGCACAAGCTTGCCATTGCCAACACAGTATATAAAGTAAGTATTACAAAGATACACGCTGTTGCAGCTGAGTTGCCATTACGGTTTCTGTCAGTACACAAATCTTTTAACAATAATGACATATATCAGTATAGTATATGAAAATGAAACCTAACTTTTTGATTAAGCAGTATGCATTTTTTTCCAGTCTTGTTACTTTCTTCTCTATTGCAAGAGCTCTCTTCATCAGTCCTGTATTTTTCTGTACTATGTATACACTGAAATGTAGCATATGTTTATTAAAACACTGAAAAAAGATGACACAGCAAGCATTGGGTGTTAACCACAAAACTGTAACTCACTATCCTCTTAAGATAATTAACATTCACTTGTTCTGTTTCAATAGGTAACAAATTTTGGGCAGGGACCAACCTTTTCTTCTGGGTTTGTAGAACACTTAAAACATTTGTTGTGATCCCTAAGGACAGCATCTGAGAGCTACTCCAGTGGAATATATTACTACTGTGGTTAGTGGTAATACAGAATAACGTATTAGAACTATATAAATAATCACAGAAAGTCAACACATTAAAATGCTTAAGGACACGAAGGACATGGTTTTAACCTTCTTTACAGTTCCACATTGTTCAAATAACTAGGTGTGACAGCTTCTTAAAGCAGCCTTCTGACACGCGTGAGACATCCAATTCTGAATCTAGCTAGTAAATTAGTATTTCTTTTTGTGAGTATTTCAGGCTTTCAATTTAGCTACAAAAGGATCAAGATGACAAAAAAAAAAAAATTATTAGCATCATTCCTACTCTGTGATTGTTCAATTATTCAGACCAGAGCCTATGTTTTAAGAGCATTAAAAAAAAAAAAAAACCTGTGGGTTAAATCAGCTTCTCCTCTACAATCTTTCTTTATTCCTTTTTATACAAGTAGAGAGCTGCTGAAACATACTCTGTTTTCTTCCAAATTTACTGCATTTGTTATGTAAACATTGCTAGCATTTTTTTAATAAAGAAAACTCTCTAGCAAATGCTTCTGTAACAAACTCAGTAAACTCAGCTTGCAGGCTGGATCGGTATTTCTCTCAGAAAGGCTGGGTACTGATCGGCTGATGAGAATGTCAATAAAATTAATGGAAAGTGAATAGGCTTAAGCTGTTTTGATACCAAATACAAAAACATTTCCTTAGCAAATGGGTACACGATATTCTAGGCATCACTGTATACTAGACTGGAGACTCACCTCTGTTAAACATAGTGCACACAAAAGCACGTGCTTTGCTGTACATACCCGAGTGTCCAGCGAAATGTTTGCAGTCTTTCCATCAACCGTGACGCACAGGACAGAGCCATCTTTTGAACTCACACAGTCTTCTCCAAACATATCCCTACAACAAAGATCTATGCATGGAAGACGTGGCCGAACAGCAAACTTACGTTTTTCTTTCTATTAATCTTAGGCGTCCAAAGGCATTTTGTTAGCAGAGTATCTCCTTTCAGCAATTATTATTTAACCCACTCAGATATAATTAACAAATACCAATCTAAATTCTTATGAGAGTGGCCGTCACATAACAGGAAGTATTTTACCCCCCAAAAAAATCTCATCATAAATGAAGGGAAGGATTCTTTTGATTTCAAAAGAGGTAAGAGTTCTACCTAAATAACAGAACATACATCAGAGTAAGTTTTAAGAGAGAAGTGATCCGAAATGGTATTTTCATAAGCATTCACAGTGTAATTTTGGGAGACAACTTAAAAATTCGCTTCTGGAAGAAATAACTGAATCCTGTATTCAAAATTTTAATGATGCTGAGAACTTTTTTTACCGTACCTCCTTCTTGACTTAATTCCTGGCCTTCACAGAAATGAGACTGAACTAAATTTGCACAAAGTATTTTTAAGTAAGTGTATCTTTAAACTGTATTATACTAAAATTATTGTATTTACATGATTAACAGTGATCATTTTCCTTTAGAAAAATACATGCCAACTTACTGAAGCATGATCTCCATTCTCTTCCTATACACATCCATATCTACTTTTTTTGAAATTTTAGGTACTGCAGCTGAAAAGAAAAAGGCATTTTACTTTCACAGACATTTGCTGGGAGGGAAAATTGGCTAATTGATACAATCTGGTTCCTCATTCACTTTCATGATAAACAATCTAAAAGCTATATAAGATGTATATGTTTAAACATATTATAAAGAAAATGTATTAAAAAAGACGGAAGAGTCAAGGAAGTATGTACATTTAAAATTCATATTCCCTGTATTTATCACATTTTAAAACACACAACTTGGCAAGTCTAATCCTCACTTCTCAATTCTCCTTTTTATTGTTAATGCTTATTACTTCTCACATTTCCTTTAGTTAAAAGTGAAAATAATCCACTTTCATAATTTTTTTATAATCCCTCAATTTTCCATTGTTATAGGAAAATACTGCATCATGGAGGCTAGGAGCATGCAGAGCATACATAAAGTAAAACTGGACAGCAAGTGTGAGTAGTAGTAATAGGCACAGACATTCCTGGAATGTGTTTCAGGATAGAGTTTGAAATAAAAATAATGATACTGGTTTTAGACTTGGTTTCAAAATCAAGAGATAGTTTAAAACAAGTAATTTGTTGAAAATTTAAGTATTTGATCATTAAAGGAGTAAGAAGTCTGTAAGAAGAGCTAGTTGTGAAAATCTCTACCCCTTTCACTGATGAATAAACAAAACAGATCTACAACTAGAGTTTATTTAAAAGGCGGCTTTTTAAAAAACAGTTTGCAAGATTTCTAAGTCATCTTAAGAGTTCAGAGAACTGAACACAATGGTAGTTAGAATAACTTAGAAATTCTTTGAAGAACTTCATAACTGCAAGAGACCACACAAGCGCATCCTAAAAAATTACCATCCCTTAGATAAGATGCAGTAACTGAATGTACTAAGCAAAACAATTTTATATTGAAATGAGGTAAGAGTAAGCACATGCTCAACTGAGCAACAATAACTTAAGATATTTAAATTCAATCACTTGTGATCCTGTGAACTTACTCTAAAATACAAAAGTGCAAAAAGTATTTGGAATGTGTTAAAAACCCCAAATAAAGGAAAAAATCCTGCAAGCAGCCACACCTGAGATTAGCTAATAGAATCACGACCATGAAACAACACGAGAAATAATGCAAAAAGGCATATAAAAATAGAAAGAGGAATTAATTATGGGGGGAAAAAGCTGGATATTGTCACTAGCAGATTGTACAGATGAAGTGGGGACTACCAAAAGTCAGGCCAAGACAGATATTACAGTAAGAATTAAAGAAATTAGTGAAACAGTACAGGATTTTTTCCAGCCATATAAAGAAAGATATGGAAGGAATAAAAAAAAATCCAAACCAAAACCAAACAAACAAAAAAAAGGAGGTCAAAGTACCATCCAAAAATAAAACTTCTATTTTTGGTTAGTTTCAGTAGAACAGAACATGAGGGCATGGCTAGAAGGGCTGATACATACTGAAAATGATCACAACCAAGATAAGAAAATTACACTTAGATCAGGTGGACTAGCAAAGCTTTATCTCAAACCAATGGAAGAACTGCTGTGTGAATTTATAAACTCAGGAGAAAGAATTTTTAACAGATTTCTTGACTCAGGTGTGGGACTACGCACCTAAGGAACAGTGATTGCTATTTTATATATAATTACAAAATAAATAATAAAAATACAAGAGGAGTAACCCAGGGAAAATAAACCCCTATTTGTCCATATAGCTCTAGCGCTTTCCACGCTGGTTTGGAAAGAAAAATCTACTAGAAGTGTTATGAATAAAATGTCATGTGGGGTTCAGAAGAGACAGATCAAGCCAGACTCCTCACTATCAGTCTCTGATAATTTAAAAACATCAGTTATTTTAAGGATAGACCTCGACCATCAGACTTCAGTAGAGGATCTGATACAGAATGACATGAAAAACCCTTAGGTAAGATCAGAAGATGTAGAACAGTACAGAATTTTTAACATTGGAACTGGTTAAAAGGAAGATGATCACAGAATGAGTTAACAGAGGCCGACGGGACGGTATGTCTAGCACAGGATCTCAGACTGCTTTGAAGGCTTCCGGGTTCAAGCGCACACCTCAGATGTGTGCTGGGTTCATGTCAGAAGGACCTCCTCACCTCCTCCCCAATACTCTATTTTCCACACCAAGAAAAAACAGGCACTAAGGTCACATGTGCCACTGGTCCCCTATTTAAGGGCACAGAACTTACCTGCTGGGCATTACAGGCACAGCCTATGAGTTTTTAAGGTATGACCTTGGGATTCATTTAATATGATCACTCCTCATATTGTCCTTTTGCTGAATTAAAAAACCAAAACCCAAATGGTATTACTTTTACATAACACCCAGGGAATAGAATTTTGGGTTCTGCTTGCCTGACCACATCCAAACTGGAGATGAATAATGCTCTAAAATGGATACACAACTGTCACTTATGTCACTAGGTGAGCAAGGGTACACAATGGCAGAATTTAATAAGGTATTTGTAAGTAAAATAGTAACGTATATTCCAAGTAATGATGCAGGTAGTGGCAAAAAAAGTTATTTCAAACCCTAGAAAATAGAAAAAAAAAATCCCTTATTTTATTTTGATAAATGGATTATCATTAAATTATCTGTGTTACTGTGTGGCCAAGCTACCAACACTTATCCTCAGTGGCCAACCCAATATTCAATACGTGCTCCAGATTGTTAGCACAGTGGCATACACATTCAAAAGCAAAACAGTGGAACAAAAAATATAAACTACCATCGCTAGTAATCCCAACAAAATTGCTGTCATTCTTGAACAGCAACATGAAACCCAGTATCCGATGATGCTATCGCTACCCAATAATTATACTTGGTTACAGGGTCTGCATAAGTGTAATTGTGAAATTAGTCTGACTTTTTTTCAGCATTGTCTACATAACTGTCCAGGTTTTGGCTGGGATAGAGTTAATTTTCTTCCTAGTAGCTGGTACAGTGCTGTGTTTTGGATTTAGCATGAGAATAATGTATAATTGCTAAATATCTCCACGAAGTGGTATCCAAAGTACAGTAATGGCTTCAGTACAAAGCTCAAATACAAGATTAAGCTCAAGGCCAGTGTTTTAATAACAAACCTCCCAGGCAAAACATCAGTAATCACTGCAGAGCACAGCAAACTGCAAAAACCAACACTAATCTTTAACATGTACAGCAAAAAAAAAGAGCATGATGCAGATCAGATGAACTAGTATCGAGAACAGATGAATCAATATTGTATACCGAATCCAACCATCAACCCAACAACACCATGCCCACTAAACCATGTCCCTAAGCGCCTCATCTACCCGTCTTTTAAATACTTCCAGGGATGGTGACTCAACCACTTCTAGGGCATGCAAGCAGTCCCTACACCCCAGGGACACACAAGTGATTATATTGCTTGTTACTAAAATACTTATGTGGCTGTGAGGAGTGCAAGGACATGGGAGACCATGGTGCTGACAGAGTGGATGGGGAGCAGTGTTCTGTGTGTGCTAGTCAGGGAAGCTGGAAATCCCTTGCGTTCTGTTGCCGGGGTCAGTATCTTGTGGTAGTGAAGTGACTGGAGAGTGATTGCTCTCATATTTCAGCATCTCTAGGAGTGACATTAGAGGTGAATTTGATGTCTGTCGTGGTTTAACCCCAGACGGCAACTAAGCACTGCACAGCTGCTTGCTCACCCTCCCCACCACCAGTGGGATGGGGGAGAGAATTGGAAGAGTAAAAGTGAGAAAGCTCGTGGGTTGAGATAAGAACAGTTTAATAATTGAAATAAAATAGTAATAACAATAACAACAACAACAACAATAATAATAATAGAAGAAGATACAAAGCAAGTGATGCATGATGCAATTGCTCACCATTCGCTGACTGATGCCCAGCCAGTCCCTGAGCAGCGATCGCTGCCCCCCAGCCAACTCCCCCCAGTTTATATACTGAGCATGACGTCACATGGTATGGAATGTCCCTTTGGCCAGTTGGGGTCAGCTGTCCTGGCTGTGCCCCCTCCCAGCTTCTTGTGCACCTCCAGCCTTCTCAGTCGGTGGAGCATGGGAAGCTGAAGAGTCCTTGACTTAGTATAAACACTGCGTAGCAACAACTAAAACATCGGTGTGTTATCACATTATTATCACACTAAATCCAAAACACAGCACTGTGCCAGCTACTAGGAAGAAAATTAACTCTAGCCCAGCTGAAACCAGGACACTAACTCTCTCTGATGTACAGTCATAGGAATACCTACCACTCATGAATGGTAATTGTAACTTTCAAATGAGAAACTGAAATATTTAAATGAGATACCATAAATTGTTTACAGACAAAAACCTAAAGTGACTAATATATTACTTATTTTAAATAAGGTCACATTTTCCACAGTCAGCTACCAGCTGCCATAAGAGAAAGTTTCAACAAATGGACACGTTACAAATAATGAAGACCAAGTTGTAATTCTGTTTTTAAGTAGCAAATCTTAGTCCCTAAAAGGTTTCATAAGGAGAGGAAGTACAACAGTGGGATTGCAATCTGTTGCAAGGCATTATATCCCTCTAAGCTTGATATAAAAAAATTAAGATGAAATGCCTCAGTTAAATAAGCATACACTAAACGTACTACCTTTCTGTATTTTGGGATTTGACTGAACTTCCAGTATCACTGTTGTCACGGTGTCTGCATACATATCATTAGCAGGATTTGCCACCCACTGGAAGATTAAAAAAAAAAAAAAAAAAAATCATAATTTGAGCTCATTATTTGGGCTGAATGAATAACGCAACATAAAACCAATGTAACTTTAATTGCATTCTCCTGTTTGCTTTTCTCTGAATTCTAGCTTCAAATGACTATCATATATTTTACACCGAACTATTAACTGTTTTTAACTTGGTATATTCCAGTAACTTCCCATGAAAAATTAAAGCTGTTGAATGTTTCTGAACACATTTATGAAACAGTTATTAATTACCACAGCCATTTGGGGGAGGGGGGAAGGAGGGAACACCATTTGACATTATTTCCAATTACTATCTGCCAAATAAAAAAAGGGCACCGAATCCACCATAATACTCTTGAGTCATGGCAAAAAAGAAACTAGCAGTGGCTAAATGAAACAACATGCATCAACACAGGACCACAGCTCAAGGGAAACTTTGCTCTAGCTTTCATTCTACTTGTCATCCAATGGAAAACTACTTAAAACATTTAATTCTGCATGGCATCTATATGATACTATTTTCCAGAAACTGGAGAACAAAATACTTCTTTCTCCCTCACCAATGCTCACCTCAAGGACTACCATGCCTGGTTCCTGGATCACAGTAATATTTTTGAAAACCTTCAAGGCTGGTTTTTGCTGGATTTCTATTTCTTCTACATCACCTAAGAAGTGATAACAAATGGTTAGCAAGGACAAAATTATACTGAAAACAAGGCTAACTTTATCTGCATAAGAAAACAGGTCATTTTAAGAATGCTGTGATTATCATCACAACTGCTCACAGCAGCTCACAATTCATTTCTCAGCCTAAAGTGCATACTCTCTTCCCTTGCCTGACCAAACTATTTTCTTTGGTCTGGATTGTTCGGGGTTTTTTTAGTGTGTAATATTGGCCACTTTACTTATTTTGAATTCTCATAGTTGACTGGCTTAGTACACTGACACATGTACACCAATGAAAAAGAAAACAAATGAGAAATTTAGTGCTCCATTTGCGGAATTAACTAGCTCCTCTTATACCCTTAAAGGATAACCCATTGTTTACATAAGCATAGAGGATAAAACAAAAGCATTTGTGTGCCAGGTAGCGCTCAGGCTATGAGACCTGAACACCAACTGAATACAGGTTCTCTCTTCACTAGTGATATGAATTAGATTCTGACACTAGAGGAGAAAGAAAAAAATCCTCAGCTTTAAATCTGAGAAGGGATCCTGCAAAGTGTGTGTGCCTTTAATGAACTAGGACGGGAGTTGCCCCTATCCTTTAAGAAAGCTAGACAGAGGCACTGGGGATTGCATTAGTGGCAGATTTAAATGGCTTCTGACTCAGAAAAAGCCAACAAGGTTAGATTCTTGCCTCTCGGGGAGGGACGAAAGAGGCTCTGTCACAAAGGAGGACAGAGCTTTTGTTATTCTCTTTTGGGGCTGGAGATAAAAGATTGATTAATAAATTTTGCATCAGAGTGGCTATGGCACTCACTTTGGAGGCTGACTGGAGACAAAAATCAGCCTAGGCTCTATATTACTATATACTCATGACTTTGTAGTACAACTACAGTAGAATCCCCCAAAAAGGATGTTTCATACTCCTGAACTGGATCTGGCAGAAGTTGCATAATCTAATGAAAATTGTAAAATATGAAACAAACCGTGGCACTTCAGTTACTGGCAAAGAAGTTTCCACTCGTAAGATGTCTGAAGACTGTAAGTTCTTTTAAAAGAAGTTGGCCACTATAAATCACGAACATGTCTTTCCACAAATACGCACCAGTAAGTTTTTGTAGCTGATAATAAAGCAGATTAAAAGGGCCGGTATATGGAATGGCTTGTGTCTGTGTTACAGTGCTCATCGCCAAGTCTGTATAATCTGAAAGAATTTTTAAAAGTATGTATTAAAAATTATCCCTTTGAATTTGCTTCTTAAAAAATTAAGTTGTCACTATAGATAAATAATGGCATCAATACATTCAAGACAGAGGGTTGAACAGGACAGTTTGTAAAGAGGAGGGTGGACGGTCTGTTGTAAGATAAATAATGTATTTTTGGTTAAGAAACCAGCAACAGCTTGTTACTTTATCATACCCATTAAAAGCAAACAATGAACTAGGACAGTAAAATTGCTTTCCCCCAAGCTCTTCCAGCATTACTACTCCATTTAATTTTCCTTCCTTTTGAGAATAGATCAATTTCTTTAGTAATAAATAGCATAGGAGCAATACACAATATTTTCACCGTACTGTGGCTTTTTACACTAAAAACTAATGACATTTTAGAAACTGGCAGGACAATTGATCAAGGTGCTCTTCTGTTCTCACTGGCATGTTTTATGCATATTCATACAGACGAAGAAGTTTTAAGTAACCATAAGGGGAATGGAAATTTGCTTCTTTTCTTTTACAGAAAGAATAGAAATTTTTTTAAACTTCAGTGGACAAAGAATTGAATGCCTTGCTTCTCACTCCAACAGTTCAGAACTTCTGGCAAAACCAAGCCAAACTAAAACAGAGATGTTCACTAATTGCTTATCAAACACAAAATTACAGAAAAAAACCCCAGTATTGTATGTGTTTTAATGACAGAAGTATACAGTAAGTTTCAATTACCTACTGAGCATATTACAGTCTTTACTTACTGGAGAGGTCACATGGAGAAAGGATGTGATAGTTAAAATTTCTTTTAACTAGGATTCCAGAAATTCTCTGTCCTTGCTCTGGTTTCTTATCTGCTAAAGATCCCATCACCTGGAAAGAAAAAACACACAGTGCAACAAGGCAATCTGAAGTATTCATAGCTTAAAGTTAACTATGGAGATGAAATACAGTTTCCTCAGAAAAATCAAACATTATATAAAATTAACTCTGAAAATAAAGGAAAGTCAGAGTAACCAACAAACATTCTGAGATGTAACACAAGAAAAGGTTGGAAGAGTGAAGAGCCAAAAAAAAAACCCCCCCGAACACAAAAAAAAACCCCAAACCAAACCCCAAATACAACACTAAACCAAAACATTCACGTACTTTGAGTCCCTGGAAAACATACACAATCCAAAACCAATTAAAAATAGAGGCTTGGAAGAAAATGCATAGTTTTTATCCCAGAGGAAAATACTGTTGTACAGGTAAGAAAATATTAACTTTATACCTTGGCAAGTTTTTCTCCTCTGAAGTTTAATGTCACAGCCTCAGTATTCCTAGGATTATGAACTTCTATATGAACTTCATCATTATCCTCATATTCCCGTATCAATGCTGCTTTCAATCTGGCCATTTCATTCTGCTCACCGTGAACTAAAATCTACAGAAAGACAGTTTTCCTTTTAGCAGAAGTTATTTGTCCAACCAGACACGTTTAGTAAGCAAATTATCCAAGAAAACTGCCATCTTGTACCTCATCTTTATAAAAATGTAATTTCATGAGGTCACAATATATGAAACATTAGCTCAATTATACTACATACAGTTCCATGTGTGTCTTGGAATTCTATGCATTATTCAAAGGCCCAGATTTTACGACCCTGAGTATTAGTAGAAAAATATATGCAAATAAGCAGAATGCATTACAGAGATTCCATTTAACTTTTCATACACGAGCACATTGTTATATTATGAAAGGGAAGTATTAACTTAAGTTCAATGATAAAAGTTACAGTTAGCTTTACATTTTTGCGCCTGCATGTAGATAAACATAAATGTAATAAACGTGCAATTCAGTATGCTTATTAAGTTCACAGTTTTCTTTGCCAAGTTAAATCCTCTCTTCTTCTGCTATGATTTGTTTTATTTCGATCTGTGCTTGCACACTGACTCTCCCCCAGTCTCAGCAAGTTTCTGATCCTAGTCTCCATTTTCATATTCTGGTCCTTCGCACCTCCTGCTCCCTGTGATTTTATCATGCTTTTTCCCCCAGTTGCTGCCTTTGTCTTGTGCTGCCTGCTACATACCTTCTTTCAGACTGGCCTACTCTTTTTCAACCAATGTTTTCATGTTTATTTTGGGGCAAATTCCACTGAATTATCCCAATAGCAGTGTCCCCAGCTTAATGTTGTCCCATACTGTATCTTACTTGCGCAAAACACTGCTGAAACAGGTTATGGACCATACCACTTTCTCGGAAGTCATCCCCAGATATCCCACATGCAGACAGTCAAGAGCAAGTTCATCTTTACTTTGCTAAGGTAAAGGTTAAAATCTCCGCCTTTTATTATTCAAAGCATAGGGATGCTGGCTACTGCTAGACACCAGTACCTGCCTTGATGACTCAAGGCTGTGAACTGGTTTGATGAATCCCACTCTGGAGAAACAGGCAGCATGTATACTAACCACATGTGGAGGTTTCAGGGCCCGGATAAATTCACTAGTTTGTTGATAATCTGTGTGAGCAGAGAAAGAAATGTAATCCACAGACATCTTCAGTGGAAGTTTTTGTCCTGACATAGTTGTGATCTCTTCAGGTTCAGACATGATGTGCTAGAAAAAAAGAACACTTCAAATAAAAAATGGAAAGCCTCCTTCAGACGCCATATAACTAATGCTTTACATTTCAAAAATCAATGAAATAATATTGGCAGCCAGGTTAAATGTGAAGAACTGAAGAAATCTCTCAAATTTCACAAAACACACACTCACAAATGAAAAAAGCATGCACAACACACACCATTTCATCTTTTGCATCCTCAGCAGATCTGGGAGTTCATTCTTCTTCCAGATACATCTCTCTCAAATTTGCATTGAAATTATAACAAGTGTGTGATTTCTACCTCTAAAGGCAAAACTAGATGCTCTGGTTGCCCTAAGGAGATGGAATTCGGAAGGAAGGATTTCATTCCCTACGACTGGACAGTGGCACAACATGCGCAAGGCAGTATGATCTCTGGTATTTAAGTAGTGTTAGATTTAATATTGACTCCTCTACAATTAGGGTTAGGGCTCCCCTTTCAAAAAGTTAAATGGTGGAGGAGTCTAAAGATGGAGAAAACTATCAATCATTCTTTCTCATGACTAGATAACTGCTTCTAGAAAAGATTATTCTGTACATCATCACTGGAAATGGCCATATGCAAATTTTCTGTACTTTTCGTTAGTATTAGCCAAAAGCAATTAGTTTTGACTACATAATTATGCGTACGTGACAACAATCTTCTCAGTAAATCCAAATAAAGACACTTGCTACTAGCCAATTCTTTTCAAACATAACATGCATACTACTTTGTATTAAGAACTTGTGGTGCATTAACAACTCACCTTAGCAAGCGTTCCTTCAACACAGTACCCTGCTATAATTACTCCATTTCTCTTATCTGTGCACCAGCTCTCAAACAACTCTCTGGATAAGCCACTCTGCATCATACCTGGGGAAGCCATCACAACACTTGGGCCAATATCATCAAAATGATCCATACTCTAAATGGACAAACAGCAAGACTATCAGTTACCATAACTCACTTAAATGAAGCAAATATGAACTCTTCTGTCACCCTTCCTCCTTTGTAAGACAATCTCGTCTCAAGCTTACCTTCAGATTACTAATATGCTTGAAAACAAACGGATTGTTGATGTTGATTTGCTTGCGGATTTTGTCATTCATGGCATTGACATACGTCTGATAAACTGCCATACATTTCTTTGCCAAAGAGGAGGCATAATATATAGGGATATCATGGAGTTCAGGATGATTCTGCCAGTATTCATCTTAAAAACAAAACAAAACAAAACCAATGAAAAAGAACAAAAAAACCAACCAACCACCAACCAAAAAACCCCATACAACCCCACCCACAGCATTATCTCCAAAATGCATGCTTCTCAGAAATGTTAATACTTCTTGTAAAACAGATTTGGCAGTGTTTTTTTCATTTTTATTAAAGAAAACCACAATCACAGACTTCTTTTTTTCCCCACCTGCTCTACTAAAGAAGAAAAAGTAATCACCAACTAAAAATGTATACAACTAGTACAAACAAGCAAACAAACAAGAAAAAGATGAACTTCAGCTATTTTCAGCAGGTCAAATTCCAATCAATCACCAACTTCAGCTACAAGGTATAAAGTATACATGATATTACACAGCAATAAATCTACATTTACAACAACACAAGTTTTACCACACCACTGCAATAAAGCTAAAATGTCTCTGTCAAATATTAATTACACATCTAACAGCTAGGGACATCTGCACATAGGTATGTTGGTGAGAATTCACTATATCCAAGTTCTGTAAAACAAATCCATGGAGTTCAAGGCGTGAAGGGATCGCCCAGTTATCAAGCCTGTCTTCCTGTGTATCACCAACAGTTGTATTTTACAAGCTTAACTGAAACAAAACCAGGAAAAAAGCCTCCACTAACCACAACTTACTTTTATCACTGATGACAGTAGCCATGACCTTTACTAAACACAAAGAAGAGATCTGAATGCAGCTACACAAACATAACTTATTCATTTTCCCACTTGGATACAGTTCTGCTAGTCTAAAACATATTATTATTGCTTAATCATCCAAAAATAGACGTAAACTCTTTTGGCTATATTTGTACATTTAAAATTATATGGCTTTAACCTAACATTTTTGATTTGCAGACAAAGCTTTTCAGAACATGTCAGAGAGGCTCACTGCCATGACTATCTTAATAAGTTCAAGTGTTAGGTGGAAACAGCCAACGAAAGATAACCAATAGCAGGACTTAGAGTGACATTAAAAGATGGCACCCATCGTAACAATTTTCTATACCATAACGCAGTATTTTATTTTTTGTCAGACACTTACGGAAAGAAGGAGAACAAACACAGAAGCCTGCGGGATCAGTTGTGTAGGCATGTGAAATGCAATTGCTCTTTCTACCTAATTAAGAATCCAATTGCGTGCCTAACTTTACTAGATGTATTTTCAAGCTTATCTTTATTAACTCTAATATCTACACACAGCAAGGAGAGCCAACCAATTACAAACTAATGGCTAAACGAGATTTAAAATGTTCGGTTTTTATCTCCTCTATAAAATAAACAAACCTCAATCAATGATAAGTAGTAAATAATCTGGCAACATCAAGTACTACCCCATGCCTAGATCCAAATTTCTTATTAGTATTTGAATAGACCAGTAACACATTTTGAAAACATACTAGTTTCTAATGTTGAGCTAAACTGAAATGGAAAGTGAGAAGAATTTCAAGTATTTTAGGTAATGTTTTAGATTCAACACCCCTAAAAGTAAGTATTTTAATTTTGAGATAGTTATCTTTTGATCTTGCCAGCATTTGCATGAGCAAAAAGACTAGTGAAAAATCACGTAACATAGTACAAATTAAATGTGCTAAAAGGAAGCAAAGAAGCCTAGAAATAATTTATTTAAAAACTCTTTTCTCTGGTACCTTGTAACAATTACTTATATATTTTATGTGAAGCGGCTTGTTATGATCACGTATAGTTTCTCCCCCCATTTTTGCTCTTCTTAACAAAGCCTAATTTGCTTTCCCATTGTAATTAGGACTTTAGAAATGCTAGAAGTGTCTGTTATGGTCTTCTCAGCTTTTCCTAAAGACTTCTTCATATAGGTTTGTGAATTAAAGGGCAAGGACAGTGAAACTTTGGAACAAAATATATCTTTTTTTTTAGCAATATCATTTAAATAGAATAGTCATGTTTTGATTGCTTCCTTTTCAATCTGTAGTAATAGCTCCTATTTGCTGAAATCCCAGTTCAACACGATTCAAAAGTCAAGCACATATTACCATGTCATTACCTTTTCCTTTCTAGGTGTCCTTTCTGCCTCACAAAGCAGAACTGCCTTGGTTAGTTGGTTAGGTTTTTTCCTTTGAACAAACAGTATTACATATTCTGAGGTAATTAACACGCTGAAAAATGGTTGAAGAGTTGTTTAAAAAAAATCATTATACCTGCGCATGAAAACATTCTCATCTAACTTTATATGCCTTTTATTAAGAGGAGCTGGGAAGGTACATACCTAAAATCAAAAGTAGTTCTTGAGCTCGACCCAGGGCAAACACAGGAATAAGACCTCTACCTCCTCTATTTACAATGTCGTGAACGGTATTACAGAATCTTGCCTCTCGCTCTTCCCTTTTTTCATGAATATGAGTACCATATGTGGATTCCTATGTACAAAGAAATTTAGTATTAAAAGTACTGACACAAAGACTAATTCCTGATCTTCTCCTCTGAATCCAACAAGAAAATGAAGAAAAACATAACATGTTGTTACCATGCAGGGGGCAGAGGGGTAAAGGGAAAAATCAAACCCACCCCAAATTCCCATAACCACCCGCACCAAGATAATCAAGATTCCCCCTCCCCCAAGTCCCTCCCAGCAATTTGGGAAGACAGATCCAGTCCCGTGGGGGGGGGGGGGGAAGTAGAACTATTAATTTTGATGCTTCTTTTAAGAGGTTTCAAATTTAACATACTTATTTTCCTAACTGGAAATGCTGCCACTGCTTTGAAGAACGGGTTATCATGTTACCATGGCTCACTAGTGGTACGAGTGCCACAGTTTAGAAACACGTAGTCTAAAATATAGGAATTACACAAAATACAAGTTTTTTGATGTGATTTAAAATGAAATAATTCTCAGTTACAGAAAGCAGTTAGAAGGGACACAAAGGATTAAGTAATTTTAAGCATTACTCTGAAAGATCTCACCGTTCATTTCCGAATGAAACAGTTGCTTTTTATGTTTCCCCTGAGCTTCTGATTTTCCAAACATGGATTCAGAATAAAACCATTTTGCTCAGAAACCAAAACCAAAAAATATGGAATAGCACTCAGGGCACCTCCACCCAGGACAAATTCTCAACAAACATAGTTGGAAGTAGGTTAGGACCTACTAAAGAAAGGTATCTGGCTAAATTGAGGTTTGTACAATACATCTAGCAAACACAAGGTGAAACCTAGTAAATCTCCCATCTTGTAAAGGTTTGTCTAGAGGCTTAAGAAACTTCATCAGAAGGATTGTGAAACAAAAATTAGACTTTTTAATACAGTGAAAAGAAATGTTGGAGTGTTCTGAACACCCAAGCATTTGGATATTTAACACAAATCACATATTACCATTAAACCTCCACTGTCTTTCTCATCCCATTTTAGCTCTAATTAAGTAATACTCCTATACTTTTTTAATGACTAGTTTAAAGAAATAATTTTGTAAAACTTACAATTATAAGAATATCAGGTTTAATATTGGGAATCTCAGCTGCCATCAGATGTCTGTCTTCCTGCCTTGAGAAATCACCTGTATATAAAAGCTATGAGACACAAAGAGAAGCAGTTACTCTGATTACAGGTTCTACCAAGTCAGCAGTCTTTAAAAAGCTGCTTAAAAAAACATCATTCCTGTACGACAAAGATCGTTTTAAGGAATTTATGATAAAAAGGTCACTTGTACTTTAACTAAAGACTCTTCTGATGTGGACAATGCTTACAATATTAAGTCAATAGTACTACAACACAAATATTTTAACCACAACGAGTAAAGGTATTTCAAGCAGTACCTTAATTGCAACAGAATTAAGTAAACAATTATTAATTTTTATTTTTCTTTTCATTTGGGATATAAAGGTGCCATTTTCAGCATTTAGCATACATGCACTGACCATTAAGAAGTAAAAATTGACATAACAGAAAATACAGCAGGTCCTAAGTGGAAGTACAAAGTAGGTAAATCAGCATTTACATATCAGAATGTAAATATAATGAATAATCTTTTTTTAAATTACTTTGAAAAAATCCTTCTAAGATTTTCTGATACTTAAAAAAAAGCCTGTAATCTAGCAGGTTTTCCAAATGGAATGATCATGTTCCCCATTACACCAAGAAGTAATTTGTAATTGTTAGTAATTTTTAATGGATTCTTAACTGCAGGGTAGAATGCAGATGTGCCCAAAATGATGGTTTCAAAACAGAACATTTTTTCCTTAACGATCATTCCACTGATGAAAACGTGAATAATAACAAAACATATAGTCAGCAGCAGCAGATAACTGGTCTAAGGTAACCTACTATCACATTCCTCATTTGCTTCACAGAGAATTAAATAGAATAATGGATGTTAAAACCCAATCCATTTGAGTCATGCATAGTAAGAGGGAAATCTTTCTCCATCATGCCTTTATCAGGGGGGGAAAAAAAAAAAAAGCAGTAAGATACCTAAATTTTATTGTAATCATTGTAAATTCAGTTCTATTTCTGTACTTTTTTTAAACTCTAGACTTTCAAAATTCTCAATCATTATATACCATGAACAAAGTCTGACTAGACAGCAAGCCTCAGGACCACCATCTCTCTTCCCTCTTCAAGGCTGTATGAAACTTTTCCTGGGTGGTGATTATCCTCCTGAACTCCAATTCATGAGATTAGTTTCAAGTATCTGCCTGTCATTATGTGACGACTTATTTAATCTCTCTGGGCCTAAAATTAATAATAATCCTATTTCTTTAGGTACTTTAGCATAAGAGTGTTATGAGAAAAATATAACTCATACTCTGACAAATGCCATTTAAGCACTCAGACAGGCAGACATGGTAAATCAGAACTACAAAAACAAACATCTGTTTATAGATTTTACAAAAACGCAGCTTCTGTAAGACTGCCTCAGCTATCAGCTACCTCTGAGCAGACCAGCATGGAAAACTACATTTTTACTGGTTCCAAGTCTGAGTCATAACTCACTCCCATAAAATCCAAACACTCAACCTGGTTCAATACATGCGTCACTTGCTAGTTCTAATCAATGAGAAAATACATGATCTAAGTCAAGGCCTCTCACCTTGACTTGAGTCCAAGTCTATTTGACAGCTCCAGCCCCAGTGGTGGGGCTTAACAGACAGTAATAAGTAATTAATGACTAAGTTAGAATTCAGGCTTGATTTCAACTTTATAATAAAAAGAAAATACCTTCACACCAGCTATTTCAATCATAAACATGGCTGCTCCCAGAACATGGCCTGCGTGGTAACACCAGAATTTGATTCCTGCCACCTCTTTCACTTCATGGAAGTTGATGGTCTCGATCTTGTCCATGCTTTCTTCAAGGTCTGTTTCTGTATATAGCATGTCATCCGCTGATATATTACTGGATATAAGTGAAATGGCTAAATATCAGCTCATCTTACCAGCTTAGATTATATAACAGTTGGAAGAAAGTGTTCCTGGATTTTTCCCCACTGACAGTAAGAATCCCATTCGGCAACGCTATGTCTCCTACATTGGAAATCAAGTCCAGGTACACCTAAGCAGAGTTAAAGTGTCTTTCTTTTGAAAGGCCGCACGAATAGTCTTTTCAGTTCACAATCTGCTCTGTATTTGTCTAAAAGTACCAACAGATTCCCAGCCCTGGACAGAGGTCTGACACTCCGCTTGTAACAGCCCTCAAAAACCAAACCAAACCACACTTTTCCCATTGGCCCAGAACAAACAAGTTAAAAAGAGGACTGTTTATCAGGTTTCTGACCCAAACTAGAATCTGCTGCGTTGAGATATGCTCAGGACCATTGAACTCACACATAAAAGATGTGTCAAGGCATGTAACAGGAGAAAAACAGAGAAAGAAGAAAAAGAGGGAAAAAACCCCCAACATGTAAGTAACAGAGCATTCTTTGTACATTTGCTTACATTTAATATTTAATTTGACCTTGTCCTGAAGAGTGAGTTGTATCTTTAGGGGCTTAAAATTCACTACTTCTGTGAAGTTTAAGAAAAAATATAGACATTAAAAAGCATAAGAACAAAAGAACATCTTAAGAGAGACAGATGGTGGGAAAAAGAGGATACTATTAAAGGTCCAAATAAGGCAAATGAAAAGAATGAGAGGAAAGAAGATTTTTTTTTTTTTAATTGATAGGAAGTTATTTGACAGACACATTATCCATGAGGCAGTAAAATGATTCATTACTTCTAATCTGGTTATAACGTTGTTACTTGTGGCAACATCCAGGTTCATCCAGCCACCTTTGGTGGCTTCATCTTAAGTCTCCTATCGGATGTATTGGTGAAATAATTAAGGAGTTGAAGAGACAACCCATGGGTCAACTTACCTGACTTTGACATAGTCTGAAAGAAGCCATCTGTAAATAGCTTTTGTGGCATGAGTCATAAATGTCCTTCCTTTAAAACTTGTTTTCTGCAAAAACCATGGTAAAGCCCCACAGTGATCTAAATGGAAACTTAAAATAGACACACAAATCAAATTAATACATTAACACTACAAAACACTAATATATAATATATATCATATAAATACTTCACTGGATTAACATAGTGTCACAAAAATCGAGAAACAGAGTTTTCAACCTCGTTGTTAACTATGCTGGTCTATATTCCATACACTAGTGACTAGAAACGCAATCAAGAAAAGGTAAGAGTAATACAGGAAATTCTCCACTAATTGCAAAAGTTTTACCCATAAACTCTCAGAATTAACTTTTTTGTAATTTACATATAAAGTTAGAGGGAGAAAAATAAGAGGAACCAGGAACACAACAAATGTCTAAGATGCAAGAAAGCTAACAAACGTGATCCTAAGTTTGCATGTAGGACACTATGGATTAAAACACGTACTAAAATAATTTTATTTGGCCACACTTCTAATTTGACCTATCTTAAGGAAGTGCTTTTGAAATACAGGTAGAACAAGCATATATCACGAAAACTCAGTATTTTATAGAGACTTGGCTATGAGTCATTTACAAATGGCTCTCCCTGTCTCTCAGCCACTAAGCAATATTTAAACCACATTCAAAGCTTGTGGAAGTCTCTGAGAACCTTTTTCATTCAAAGCCAATAGAGCAAAAAACACAACCAATACTTTTCAGCAGTCTTTATGTAGAAAACTCATTCTAGAAGCTGTCACAATAGTGTTAAAGCAGGCCAGGTTATAAAAAAGTCAGACATCACAGTAAGCTCCAAGGAGAGTTGTAATGTCAAAAGTGACTGAACATCCTTAATTTAAAAAAAAGTTGGAAACTAAAATTTTACCATGCCATTACCATCTATATAACACCTATTTCAGCCTCTCTTAATAACCCACAAGTCAACACAGCTCAGACCACGACCTCAGTATATTTGTTCTCTTAGGTGCAACTTACTGACTAATTAGGAGAAGATCAATCTCAGCAGGATCTATCAAATCAATGTAAAAAAAGAAGAGCTTCCATTCCTTCCAGTCCAGGATGGATTCCGCAATCAAGCTGAAAAATGAAAGAAAGTTAAAGCTTCTAACAAAACGTATAAAAAACCTTCTTCCATTTTGGTCTAAAATATACTAGTTACTAGTGACTAGTAACTTCTAGCATCATGCAAAAGAAGTACTTTTTCCTTAAACACTGCTTTTAGCATTGGATTCCATATCTCGGGTTTCTGTCTAGATGACTTATCCCCACTGGGAAACTGAACACCTTTCAAAAGATCCCAGTCTTTGTTTATAATTTTGTACCTATGCAAGCCTTCATTCACACTTCAACAATACCTGAATATACAGAACCAGTGTATGCAAGTTATTTCAGCCACTGCTGAGCAGACAGCTGGAAAAGGTAAAGAGAACATGTATGTGTTTACACGTGACTGTTTACACATAACTGCAGGTAAACATTAGCCTTAGGTTCCACTGAAACCTAATATGTGTAAATTTTAGAATCTACACTTAGGACACATACGTTCTGTTTGGGGATATGGATGTATTTTACAAGACAGCCTCTGTAACGCCTGCTATCGTTTATGCTGTATTGTTCCAGAAAGCTACAAAATGTGCCTCTTCTAGCACAGTGGCCAACTTCAGTGAGGAAGCTGAATTCAACCCGTAATATCTTTTTGTGACCTGAAGTACCATGATGAGGCTGTACAAATACATTCATGCAATAATTACCATTATTTTTCTTCCTTTAAACTCCAGAATAATGCACGACCTTCCTACTTCTTGGCCAGCACCTCTGCAAAAGGATATCAAAGTCATCAAAATTAAAACAACCCACAACGTATAGATGTAACTGGATACTGGATGCCTTCAGTGGGATTATTTTTCTGTGTAGAAATAATGGCTGCACAGCCCTTTTAAGCTCAGGTATTTAAATTAACTGAACAGTTATATTTATCTCAATGGAAATCAGACCCTATATGACGCCGCAGGAGTAAAAAGAACGTGTTTTGGGAGATGATTTTGGTCTCTTCTTGTTTTTACTGCATGCCTGCACACTCAGCTCCCAAAGTGATATAATGAGTTGAAAGTTTAATTAAATAACAAATTACTTTGGGCTGAACAAGCATGACGTAGCATCTTCAAGTTGTCCAGAAGTCAACTCTTGTGATGCTACCAAAAACACCTGCAGACTACACTGGCATCTTTACCAGAGAAAAAAATTCAACTTAAAATCCTACAAAGCCCCACGACGCTACCGAAGTACAAAAGGCAAAGAAGAAGCCTTTCGCTCAGACAACACTTCAGCGTTGCGTGAGGGAAGGACACAATCCTTCCCACCGGCTGTGACAGCTACCCCGCAGACTGCAGGCTGCCTGCTCCTTGGAAAAGCGAGCAACCAAAAACCAGCAGGGGGGAAAAAAGCAGCCCGGGATTTCAACGCCTCGAACTACGTTCCACTCAGGCCGCCCGGGGCACGCTTCCGCCTCCCCTGTCGCGATAACACAACCGGTGCCTGGGGGAGGCGCCGGCCCGCGACCAGGGGCACGCACCACCGCCCCGCCCCGCCCCGCAGGACGGGGCT